CCTTCGCCCGAGGGTGGGGGGGGAGGGGGGGGGGGGGGGGCGTTCGCCGCGCCCGCCAGCCCCAAGCAGCCCTCAGCAGGAGGACGACGACGGTGCGCCCCGTTGGGGACGGAGACCACATCCCCGACGATATGATTTTTGCAGTTCCGGCGTGCGTCACCGGTTTTGGTCTCTGAGGCCCGTCATCGGGTCCCGGGGTCAGCAACATGCATCCAAGGCGAGAGACTACCCTGGGGAAGAGAACGGAACCTCTCGGGTCCTTTCGAGGATCGTCGGATGTCTGGGAGTGCTCCTTCTCCACCACGATTAACTCAAGGGCCAGGCTCTCCTGCACTGCAGCCACACAGGGAGACGTCAAGCCCTCCAGTCTTGCAGCCAGGGGCCAAGCGCTCACCTGCCAAGCAAGGAGGGGAGAGTGGAGGAGGAGGAGGAGGAGAAGGAGGACCTTGGCCCTGACCTTCCAGAGTGCTAGAAGAACTCTCTATACATGATCTGCATGAACTGTTCACAGCCTCGACTGGAGTTCAACTTATCAGAGGTCATCGTGCTACCTTTAAGCCCCGTGGAAGGTGAGGGGAGGACTGGCATCGAGGACCGGGCATGATGCTGACTCTCGATTTCTGAGCAGTCATTGTTATCGAACCCCCTATATCGCCCTGCCGTGCTCGCCTCGGCGCTCTCTACATGCTCTGTGAAAGCAAGGCTCACGCTCAAGCGTTTCGGTCGCTACGTCCTTGCTCCTCACTCAGGAGAGGCGCTTCCCTTCTGCTCAGGACCAGAGCTGCTGCTCGCCGCCGAGGCTGGACCTTCAACAAACCCAGCGCTCTCGCTGGATACCTCCTTGCTTGCAGAGGGAGCCGAGGATATGAAGGGAGAGAGGGAGCCCGAGCGAATCGGACACGTGTAGTTCTGGTACCTCGCAGCTGCGGGCAAGGGGGAGAGAATAGGTGGCCCCGTGTGAACCTTAGCCCCACCCCCTACGACTTCTAGGGGGGGTGGGAGGTAAGGTTCATATGTGGCCACCGAGAGGAGGAGAAGGGTGAGGAGGAGGCGAAGGTCCCCCGTCCATCCTCCTCCGTCCTGCGGCTCGGCGTCTCCTCCCGTCCCCCATGCCCCCTCCTCCCCTGCTCCTCCCGCCCACCCCCTGGAGACCCTGAGATACGACGTTGCAGAAAAGTTGCAGCATCATGAAAATCACGACCGCGGCCCCGGACCCTCTTCCTGCGTCGTTTTCTAAGCTGGACCGATCCGTGAGGGCCCCAGGGCCCGTAACTAGGCGAGCGCGCCTGGTATGAGAAAATTTGCAGCGCTGGGATCTCAGGGGAGGGGTAGCGTTCGGTCGGGCATGGCCTCCTGCAGGCGGATCTTGGAAGATAAAAAAACAATCGAAAATAGTCAACAGAGCACGACGAATCGTCGCCGGACTGTCTTTCACGACATGCTCTTGAATCCACTCCACCTGTAGAGGGACTTGCCCGACGTGTGGGCAGCGCTGGTGACGGGCGGGTGCGGCGGGCGTCTCTTTGGACGCCCGAGATGGGTGCCGAAAAAATGGGTACGATGCCCAACAGCAAATGCTGCCCCAGACCAACAGCGGCCGCTGTTGGGCAGGCGGCCTCCTCTCTCGAATGGACGCGGGCCGCGGCGGCGTGGACAGCGGATCTTGCTCAAAATGAACAGGAGCTGCTGCTGGGCATAGTACCCATGCTTTCGGTACCCATTTCGGGCGTCCAGAGCCTCCGGGCCTCGACCATCACCTGGAGCAGGTTCCGGAGGAAGCTCGTGGGCGCCCCGGTGAAGAACGGGCCCTCGCGGGCCGGCGGCCCGTGCCCTCTTGTGGCCCGCGGGCTCTTTCTCTCTCTCTCTCTCTCGGGCAGGCGAGGGGCGCGGGGGGAGGAGGGGGGCCAGGCGAGGGGAGGAGGGGGGGGGGGAGTGGGGAGGGAGGAGAGGAGAAGCGGGAGGGGGGAGGGGGAGGATGGGGGGAGGGGGGGGGAGGGAGGGGGGAGGGGGGGAGGGGGAGGAGGGGGCAGGAGAGTGAGGGGAGAGGGAGGAGAGGGGGGGCGGAGGGGGATGAGGAGGGATCCGTCGCCCATCCGCCATCGGGTGTCATGGCGGACCTGGAACCCCAAGAGCGACTTATGTCATACCAAAAGCGACTTATGTGCAATCAGGAGTGGCAGCTGTGTGCTGAGAGGAGGTGGAGGAGGTGGCGGATGAGCAAAAGGAAGGGCAGTAGGACGAGGAAGAGGATGAGAAAAGAGGAGGAGGAGGAGGAGGAGGAGGAGGAGGAGGAGGAGAAGGAGGAGGAACAGCAGCAGCAGGTTTAGGAAGAGAGGGAGGATCAGGAGGACAAAGGGAAGGTGGAGGAGGGCAAAGGAGGTCGGCGACAACGAGAAGAAGGACTCGGATCCACAAACCTGGCCCGCACTGTGGCGAGGGCCCCATTCTGAACGCATGGCGCAAAGCAAAGACCCCAAATGAGGCCAACGCTGGAGCGGGAGCACCGTGTCGAGGATCACAGAAGACTTGTCATCGCTCGGACGTCCATTCCCCGTGATTGTGTCGGTGTCGTGCGCGTTTTCGTCTGGCAGAGGTGATCCCGGATGCCCCTCGCTGGTCCCCACCGAGAAAACGACCCAGGCATGCGACGCCCTGATTTCTGTCCATACGGGGTCCCTGGAAGTCCCGACCCTTTCCCAGGGACTGGTGCTCCATCCTGAATCGTTTCTGGACAATCCCGAGGCCCAGCGAGGGGATCGGAGGGGGAAGAAAAAACGGAGAACACAACAACTGCATACACCCTGCGAAATGGTTAAGAAATCATGGGTTAAGAAATTCATAGTCTCAGAACTTGAATAAAAAACCTAAAGTTTCCATCAAAATCTTAGGATTTACATTGAAACGTTACGAATAATCGAGACTCTGGCCGAAAACTTAGGTTTTCTTAAGCATCGCCTAAGGTGTAAGCATCATTTCGCGACGATCCGCGCGGACTTCTTGCCTCGGCGCCAGACCTCTCCTCCCTGGCGCGCGCGGGGCGCGCCATGTGGCGGTGCCAGAGGCGCCGCCAACAAGGGGGCCAGCGCCGATCCAGGACACCCGCGCGGACCTCCGAGAAATTACGCTGCTTCTGTTTCTGTTTGCTCTCCTACAGGAGGCGACTGCGGAGGAGAGGGCGGGATCAGTCAGCATCGGATCGGGAAATCGGATCGACTCGGACGGTGCGTCGGAGCGGGCTGCGTCGGCACGGAGTCGGAATCTGATCGGATCGACTGCGCCAGGGTGCACAACACCGCCATGCAAGCATCGGGCCGCATCAGTTCGTCGGAGCATCGGAATCGAAGTGGATCAGAATGACAGAAACCGACGTCCAGTTGGATCGAACCGGAGGTTTTGACCCATTCCCTGGGACCGGTGTTTCATCCTGGGTCGTTTGTTGACGGTCCCAAGGCCTGGTGAGGGCCCCTGGAGGCCGCAAACCGAGAAGCACCCGCCATCGTGATGGTCGTCGTGGCTCGAGGGTGTGATGGGCCCCATGTGGCGACGAACTCTAAACATATCCACTGCCCCCTGGCCGAGCCCCTCCTGAACCCAGCAACGGCGTATACGCCACGCCCCCCTGGCGTGGCCGGGAGGGCGTGTACACGGCTCCTGGGCCCAGGGAGGGCCCGGCCAGGGGGCAGTGGATGTGTGGGCGATTTCGGAAACCCTGAATGCAAAAATGTGCTCCTCCTTCGGGGACGCACTTGTTACTCCCGCCGCCTTCCGCCGACGCTCCGCCGCCCAGGACCGAAGGCCAGGCGCCGCCGAGGGGGCCAGCGCCGATCCAGGACACCCGCGCGGACCTCCGAGGAATTACGATGTTTCGAGTGCAGCGGCAACGGCTTCCGGAAGTCCATCCGACCGATAAACCGATCAACCGATAAAAACTAATCGGTTGAACGGTTTGCAAACCGATCAACCGAAAAACCGATATAATTTGATCGGTTTATCGGTGGATCGGTCGCTCAACCGAAAAACCGATAATCTTCGTATGCGAACATAGAGGCGATTGCTGGCGCGCCCCCCTCTCTTCGTCGGTTTATCGGTTTATCGGTTTATCGGTTGACTGGCTGATCTGAGACCGCTAGGGGGGAACCTGTGGAGGCGATCCTTGTGCCGCATATCGGTTTATCGGTTTATCGGTTTATCGGCTGGTTGTCAGTCCCCCGCCACGACGACGACGGCGACGGCGACGGCGTGAGTTTTGTGTTTGGCTCTGGCGCGGACGGCGCACCCCGCTCTGGGGCGGCTCGGCTTGATCAGCCTGAGTCTCTGGTGCGGACGGAGTCCCGCAGGGGTCCGAGCATCTCTCGCCGCGCGCGATGCTTTGCGCGGGTAGTGCAGGGCCTGCGAAGGTCTCAGGCGACAGTGGCCGAACCAACTTGGGGCAGGGCATATGCGAGGTCGTTGTCTCAGACGAAAGTGGCCTGAAGAGGTCAGCTATAGGCGTCTCGGAAGCCGCTGTTGCGAGGATGTCGCAGGCGTAAATGGTCGGACCGCCACGGGGTAGGGCACCTCCGGAGTCAGAAGTGCGAGGGCGCCCCGGGCGAAAGTTGTCTGAACATCGCATCCCGGGGCAGATCGGGGGTCAGACTATTTCAAGGCTGGGCACATCCCCCCCAGGTGAACGAGGCGAGTTTTTGCGTGGGCGGAAATGGCCAGCACAATTTGGGGCAGGGCATATCAGATGTCAGCGTTGCGAGGATGTCTCAAGATGAGGAAGAGGAAGGTCATACTGATGATAATGATGGCGATGGCGGCAGCCGCGCGGGAGGCAGAATCTGGCGGGGCAAATTTCGGTGGTGAGCAAAATCTGGCGCGCCATTTTGCGTCGGTCTGGATCACATTATACGAAAGGACGGACGGCGATCGGCCCCAGGAGCAGAGCCTCGACAAGACTCCGCGAGGAGCAGAGCCCCGACAAGACTCCGCGAGAGGGGAGGGAGAAGGAGGAAAGGGGAGGAGGAGAGGGGAAATACGAAACCCCTAAAGCGCAAAGAAGGAGGGGGAGGGGGAGAAGGAGCCCCCCCCCACCCCGCCTAAGCACGGTAGAAACCGACAACATCCTAGCCCGAAGTGCCCTGCCAGATTTCGCTTCCCGCAAGACCGCCTGCGCGCGGAGCATTTGCAAATCGCAAGTCGGCAGGGGGCAAATATGCCACAGGACGGCCGGGGACAAACGTGCCAGAGGTTGGCTAGGGGCGAATATATCACAGGACGGCTGGTACCACCGACCACTCTCTCCTCTGGCCGCCCCTCTGGCCACCTCCCACCACCGACCGCTCTCTCCTCTCCCTCGCCACCCCCCTCCAAGTCATCCGCGTGCGTCCTCGACGGCGACGGCGACGATGGCAGGGAGTGACGCGCGTCATATTTGATAGGGCGCGGCGCTACCCCTGCAGATGCGCCCGCCTCTCCGCGCGCGTCGGCTGGCCACGTCGGCGCGCCGACGCGCCCTTCCGAAGCTTCTTGCTCCACGCGGCGCCAGGCGCGCCGGCCGCGCCGCCAGCAACCTCGCCCAGCACATGCTCGGCGCCTTCGCTGCCGCGCTCGCGGGCCGCGCGCGGCAGCGCGCGGAGCAGCTCCCTTCGCCAGAGCGCGCTGTTCTCGCACTGCGCCCGCGGGATGCCCGGCGGCAGCAACGCGCACTGCGCCCGCGGGAAGCCCTGCTGCGCATTCCGGGCCCCCAATGCCTCCAGCGCCTCCTCGGCGCACCGCCTCGGGCACTGGTCGTCGCCCTCGGCGTGCACGGCCCAGATGCCACCTGGCGCCCCTGGGTGCTCCTCCTGGCGGTCCAGGTAATCCTCGAACTTCCCGACTGGGTCCGTGTGCGCCGGGACTCCTCATCCGCAGTTTCCTTGAGCACCGTGGCGTGGTGCTCCAACCAGCCCGCGTTGCTCATGACACCTTGCATGAGCGCTTCGGGCTGCCAGCCCTCGCGCGACGCCACCGCGACGACAGCTGCGCGGAAGGGGCGCGGGAGCAGGAGCCGAATTGAGAAGCTGGGATCCATTCCCACCTCCTCGTGGTCCCTAGGGTCCGCCAGCATCTCGCCCAGCCACTGCTTGGCTGTCTCTCGGGTCCCCCGCTCGTCCTGCAAGCCGTTGAATAAGCCCGTCGGACGCAGGGCGGTTCGGAAAGCGGCGGCATTCGGCACGGCGTCGAGAGCGCGAATAGCAGCCAAGGACGGGTCTGGCACCGGGGCCCCGTCACCGCCAGCCGCCGTGTTGTCAGTGAACGTGAAACCGAAATCGGCATCTGTGATGGCAGGGCCTTGCGGCCGCGACGGCTGAGACTTCGATGGGGATATGGACTGCGACAGCCCCCTGCCAATGGGCGACGCGGCCGGGGCGACGGCCCTGCCAATGGGCGACGCGGCCGCGACGATGGCCCCACCGGGCGACTCGGGCTGCATGATGGGCGAATCCGCCACGACGCGGGGAGGCGGCGACCTGGAGCGGCGGCTCTCCCTGGTGATCCTGCGCTCCCCCCCCTGGGTGAGGGGGGTCCGGAAGACGGCCGTGCGCCTGCGACCTGCTGCCGCTGACGACCCACTGCTGCTGACGACCTGCTGCCGCTGCAACCTGGCGGCCTCCATCGACTGGAGCTGGCGTTCCGCGGTCCTGCGCTCTGGGCATGGAAAATAGGCGAAGTCCAGGCCGTCCACTTGCACGTGCGCGTTGACGCACTCTTCGTGGCAAGGCCCGCGCAGGCAACCCAGACGGACGAGCTCCTCGCCATCTTCGAGTTCCTGCTTGCAGATGGCGCAAGAAGCGGCCATACCGATCTACAGCTATCGCCGCGGATCCGCAATAGTGTGGGTGGCCGCAGATCTGCAGCTATCGCCGCGGATCCGCAATGAGACACGCGACGCCAGCAGCTTTCGCCGCAGCTCGCGCTACAGTGATAACATGACACGGCTAAGACCGAGGGGGGAAGGAGAAGGAGGATGGGGGAGGAGGAGAGGGAAGGAGAAGGAGGATGGGAAGGAGAGGGCGGGGGAGCTGGAGGCGCCCCCGCCAAAGCGCTGTAGAAACCGAAAACGTAGCCCGAAATGCCCCGCCAGATTTTGCTTCCCACAAGCCCCGCCCTCCCCCCGCCACTCCTCCCTCCATCCCTCCTTCCCCACTCCAATCCCCCTCCCCCATCCCTATTCCCTCCACCCCTCCATCCCCTCTTTTCTCAAATGCCCCTTTCCCGAATCGAATCCAACCCTCCCTCCCTCCATCTCTCCTTCCCGCCCTCCCCCCTTTCCAATTTTTCTTTCTGGATGGGCCTGGGCACTGGGCCTGGGAGAGGAGGAGACAGGAAATTCGAAATTCCCCAATCCGAAAGAGGGAGGGGAGGGGAACAAGGGAGGGGAATGGGGGACGGATGTGAGAGTGTGGGCAGGAGGGGAAGAGGGAGGGAGGACGAACTCCCCAGGAATGGTGGTCAGCTGGAACGCCGAGAAGGGGCTCACGGGGGCCGCGGCCCTGTGCGCGCAGAACCATGGGCGTCGGGGCCAGTGAGGGAGGGAGGGAGGAGAGGGAGGGAGGGAGGGATCGGAACGGAGGAGGGAGGAGGAGGAGGAGGAGGAGGAGGAGGAGGAGGAGGAGGAGGAGGCGGAGGCGGAGGAGGACTAGGAGGAAGAGGAAGGGGAGGCGGAGGAGACTAGGAGGAAGAGGGGGAGGGAGGACTAGGAGAACCATGGGCGTCGGGGCCAGTGAGGGAGGGAGGAGAGGGAGGAGAGGGAGGGAGGGAGGGAGGATCGGAACGGAGGAGGGAGGAGGAGGAAGAGGGAGGAGGAGGAGGAGGAGGAGGCGGAGGCGGAGGAGGACTAGGAGGAAGAGGAAGGGGAGGACTAGGAGGAAGAGGAGAGAGAATTTCGAAGGATTACCCATTGGACAACCACGACAACGCCGGGCCGATAAACCGATCAACCGATCAACCGATAAACTGAAACATCCGATATACCGATAAACCGATAAACTGATAAAACCAAGCTGTGCTGAGATTCGGGCACGCATGCGATGAGTCGGTTTAGTGGTTGATCGGTTTATCGGCAGATCGACCGATAAACCGATATAATCATATCGGTTTATCGGTCGATCTGCCGATAAACCGATCAACCGAAATAGTTTATCGGTTGATCGGTTTATCGGTTTATCGGTTTTATGTTCGTGTCCTGCGGCTGCAATCGATGTTTCTGTTTCTGTTTGCTCTCCTACAGGAGGCGAATGCGGAGGAGAGGGCAGGATCAGTCAGCATCGGATCGGGAAATCGGATCGACTCGGACTGTGCGTCGGAGCGGGCTGCGTCGGCACGGAGTCGGAATCTGATCGGATCGACTGCGCCAGGGTGCACAACACCGCCATGCAAGCATCGGGCCGCATCAGTTCGTCGGAGCATCGGAATCGAACTGGATCAGAATGACAGAAACCGACGTCCAGTTGGATCGAACCGGAGGTTTTGACCCATTCCCTGGGACTGGTGTTTCATCCTGGGTCGTTTGTTGACGGTCCCAAGGCCTGGTGAGGGCCCCCGGAAGCCGCAAATCGAGAAGCACCCGCCATCGTGATGGTCGTCGTGGCTCGAGGGTGTGATGGGCCCAATGTGGCGACGAAATCTAAACATATCCACTGCCCCCTGGCCGAGCCCATCCTGAACCCAGCAACGGCGTATACGCCACGCCCCCCTGGCGTGGCCGGGAGGGCGTGTGCACGGCTCCTGGGCCCAGGGAGGGCCCGGCCAGGGGGCAGTGGATGTGTGGGCGATTTCGGAAACCCTGAACGCAAAAATGTGCTCCTCCCTCGGGGACGCACTTGTCACTCCCGCCGCCTTCCGCCGACGCTCCGCCGCCCTTCCGCCGCCCTTCGGCCGAGGAAGAGACGGCAACTCCTTCGATCCCCGCAGGCGAGGCTCCCTGTCGGGAGGGCCCCCCCCAAGGTACAGATCTCGGGACGCTCCGCCGCCCTTCCGCCGCCCTTCGGCCGAGGAAGAGACGGCAACTCCTTCGATCCCCGCAGGCGAGGCTCCCTGTCGGGGAGGGCCCCCCCCCAAGAGCACGGATCTCGGCGCCCGGACCCCGGGCGCCGAGGAGGCCGCCTGCGAGAACATCTGCTTGAACAGGTGGGCCTTCAGCTCGATGAACAGGCTGACGCTGAGGCCCTGCGCCGCCCGCTCTCGGCGCTCGGGTGCGGGGGAGGGGGGGGGGGGCCGGGCGCCTCTCCCCGCGGCCCCCTCGGGAAGGGGGGGCAGGGAGGAGGGGGGGGCGCAAGGCGGAGGAGGAGGTGGAGGAGAAGGCGGAGGGGGAGGAGAGGAGGAGGAGGAGGGGAGGAGGAGGAGGAGGAGGAGGAGGAGGAGGACGAGGAGGAGGAGGAGGAGGAGGACCAGGGCGGGAAAGAGGAAAAAGGAGGAGGGCGGGAAAGAGGAAAACGGAGGAGGGCCGGAAGGAGGAGGAGGAGGAGGAGGAGGAGGAGGAGGAGGAGGAGGAGGAGGAAAAAGAGGAGGAGGAGGAGGAGGAGGAGGGGAAGGAGGAGGAGGAGAAGGAGGAGGAGGAGGGGGAGGAGGAGGAGGAGGAGGAGGAGGAGGAGGAAGAGGATGGGGTGCCCGTGTACCGCTAACCTGCCCTCGACTTCGACTTGTTGGGGCCGTCTGGGGGGCCCTCGTCGCCGCGGCCAGATTCGCCTCGGAATTCGGATCATCACACAGCGAGGGAGGGGTCCAGAAAGTAGCGGCATCCGTGTCTCCAGGTTTTTTTCTAGGTTTCCCCAGAAGAGGGAGGGGAGAAGAGAGGAAACACCAGGGCGGAACGTAGGACTTCGGGAGTCCTCGTGTGCCTCCGCAAGAACGGCTCGGGGCGATTAGGCCGGATCGAAGTCCCACTGTGCCGGGCTAAACTGCGGGGCTCAACGGCACTGGGCGGGAGTCGCCCGAATGAAGTAATTACGTGCTCGACCACGAATACGGCAGGTTCGCGTCGTGACGACTCGGGCGTTGGTTCCTGACACCGCGGGGATCGCTCAGCCTTGAACGATCGGCGGCTGTTCGATCGCCCGATCGTTCCATGTTGGCCGATATTGGGTTACTGGCGTCGTTCAACCTTGAACGCCCGCTGCGGGGTCACCGCCGGTCGACACGACGCGAACCTGCCGTATACCAGCGCCGATGCTGAACGTGACCTCCCAGGAGTTGCGCCCCAACGTAGGAGGAGGCGGCATCAGAGGCGTAACGCTGCAAGAGCAGTCAGGCGCGCAGAGAGAAGGGGGGGGAGGGACGAGCAAGTACAGTGCCGGGCGTCGCGCGTGACTCGACCTCTAACCCGCTCCTCGTCATCGCTCGAACGTCCATCCCCCGTGCAGTTGTCGGTCTCGTGCGCGTGCCTTTTTCGCAAGAGGCTCCAAGAAACTCCTCGGTGGCCCTCGCCGGAACAGGGCACACGTCCGAGAGATGCCGAGGCCCTGCCTGCATCAGGAGGCTGTATGCGTTGATGTTGTGGTGCACCGCCAGGAAGTGGTGGTACTGGCGGATCCGCTGCTGGAGGTTGACGGGAAGGCCCAGGGTGTTCATGGTGCGCTGGATGAGGGCCTCGGGCGTTCTCGGCCCCTCGTTCTCCTGCTGCTCTTCCTCCTCCTCGCCCTCCACAAGCTCCCCGTCCTTCCTCCTCCTCCCACGCCCTCGCCTCCTCCTCCTCTCCCTCTTCTTCTGCTCCTCCCCCTATCCTCCTCCTCCTCCTCCTCCTCTTCCCTCCTCCTCCCTCCTCACCATCCATGACCACCACCCTCATCAACATCAACATCCTCACCATCACCATCATCATCACTACGCTCGCCAGCATCTTCATCATTATCCTCATCATAATAATCATCATCCTCATCATCAACATGATCATCACATTCACCATCATAATCATCATCAACATCATCGGCATCACCATCCGTCATCATCATCACCATCATCACCATCATCATCACCACCACCATCCTCACAATCACCGTCATCATCATCAACATCATCATCATCACCCCCGTCCGTCATCAGCATCACCGCCATCATCACAATAACCATCATCGCCACCATCCCCACCATCACCTCAAAATCAACATCAACATCACCATCAACATGATCCGTAGCAGCACCATTCTTATCCGTGAGCAGAATCGCCACCATCATCTACATCCTCAACATCACAATCATACTTACCATCCTCACCATCGTCATCATCATCCCCACAATCATCATCATCATCATCATCATCACCATCACCATCATCATCATCATCATCATCATCATCATCATCCCGACCACCACCGTTCTCACCATCACCGTTGTCCACATCCTCGTCGCTCATCGTCATCACCACTACCATCCCAACCATCATCATCATCATCATCATCATCATCACCATACTCACCATCACCACAACCAATACGATCAACCCCATCATCACCCGGCCGCAGTACCACATGTAAGCATCATCATCATGCCCATCACAGAACCTCACCATCACCATCATCATCACCATCACCATGCTCACCACCATCACCATCACCCATCATCATCACCAGCATCCTCACCATCAGCGTCCTCAACATCACCCTCATGATCATCCTCATCCGTCATCATCAGCTTCATGACCACCATCATCACCATAATCAACATCACTACCGACATTCTCACGACCACAACCATCACCGTCATCATCATTATAACCATCAACATCCTCGATCCACATCACCACAAGAATCTGGCATCAGCATCAGCATCACCAGCAACACCAATATCATCACCAACGTCCTCACTACCACCATTCACATCACCATTGTCATTGTCATCACCTTCTTCATCATCATCATCATCATCATCATCATCATCATCATCCGTTACCATGCTCACAAGCATTAGCATCATCCTCCCCATCACCGTCCTCACCATCACCTTCACCCCTATCAACATCATCAACATCCTCTTCACCACCACCACCACCGTCAACATCATCACCACCCGTCAGTAACAGCGCTTTCATGCGTAACCATCGTCTCCACAATCCTCATCCTCACCATCACCATCACCATCATCATCGCCATCCTCACCATCCTCATCATCATCCGTCATCGTTGTAGCTATCACCACCACCATTGCCAGACTCATCACCGTCAGCCGTCACCAATACCATCCTCACCATCACCACCACCACATCCACCAGCATCATCATCAACATCATCATCATCATCGACATCATCACCATCATCATCAACATCACCACCACAACCGCCATCATCACCATGATCATAACCACCATGACCACCATCATCACCACCATCACCCGTCATCAGAAGCCATCGCAATTCGGGGCTGCGGCCCGCGGGGCCGCCCTTCCGTCGGCGGGGGGGGGAGGCCCGAGGCGGGCCTCCCGGAGGCCTTGCGCTCTGCCGACGGCCTCCGCATCGGCGCCGGAGTCCTGGCACGGTGGCACGGTCTGCTAAGTGCGGGCAGCAGGCATGTCCACGTCCAGTGCGTCGTGGACTTACTGGGAAGGGGCGCTACAGGGCCGAGGCGCCCTGGACATTGGTAAGACTCCGGCCTCCAGGGGGGAGATACCTATCCATCTCCAGTGCGCATCGGGTTCCTGAGCAAGGGAGCCCCGAACTCCAAACTGCACTGCAGATGGACAGAAGTATTGCCCGCACCAGAGGTGACTGGCGAAGGAGGCGGTTCTGCATGGAGGCAAGAGAAGTATGCACATGCGCCGATCCTGGCCAGGCCCACCCTGAGCCTGGGATCAGTACATAATCCCTCCAGGCTTGGTCAGAAGGGGTACGCAGGACGGGCCTGGGCAGGATCGGTGCACGTGCACATTTCTCAGCGCCCGACAGAAGTTGTCATGTTTTGGGCGGTAGCCCGTAGGAGTCGAACTCGAGTACAACTTGGATCAGACTACAATCGAACATATTCGTCAGGTAGGCCCTGGAAAAGGTCCCCAAAACAAATATCTGAGAAAGGGACCTCGCCTCGCTTTGCGGACGCATGCGCATGCGCCAGACGACGAGAGGGCGGCAGGGCCGACGCAGCAAGCAACCCAAGTTGAGCAAATGCCAGCCGTCCCTGCCGTCCACGGCACGCTTTCAATCCTGAAGGAATCGAATCCGTAACAATCAAGATATGGTGGTTGAAGACCCGATCGCTGTCTGCACTCGCCTACGCAGACGATGACTGAACGCAACGATGCTCCATTCAAAGAGCAGCTTCTGACAAGTACGACTTCGTCTCCTCTGCCTGCAAGCAGGCTGGACGCTTCCACACAGCTTGAGCAGGCCGGCTGGGCGCGCGGCCATGTGCTTGTGGTGCTTGGTCATGTGGATGTTCATCCGGGTCAGGAGCATCGTCGTGTTGCCTGAGCGGGCCAGGCGCTCGCGGGCCCGGGGACGGGGAGGCTTGGGCACGCACACTGTGGGCCTGGTACGGGTGCCTCTCAGTTGGCCGTGGGCGACCTGGACACCTGGCCCGGCCCTACGCAAGTCGAGGCCCAGCACTAGGTTGATCTACGAAAAGAGAACCCTGGGCCAAAGCCTTGTCTGGAAAAACAATCCAAGCGATAAGCGGCGTGGGCGTAGGCAAGCAAGGGAGGGTGGAGTGCGAGGAGGATCGACGAGGGAGGACTTTGGCGAAGTTTAGCTGTTGCAGGGTCTCGAGGGGCAGCGGGAGGCCTCTGGGGACCGCCAGAGACATTCAGAGGCCTAGGAAATACTCGGGTCCAGCAGCGGTCTCTGCTCCCGCTCTGACAATTTCCGCCTTCCCCTCCGCGTAAGCCCGCGGCCATAGATGAAGGCGAAGAAGATACCGCCCAACCATCCGGTGACACCTATCGGCTACACGCAGGAGTGACCCAGGGTAAGAGTGACCTCAGGAGCGCGGCTTTTGGGGGGCCGCGGGGGGGACCAGACCTGGGCGCGCAAGCCGCTGCCCCTGCCTCGTGTTCAGCCATCTGGGGACCCATCTGTGCCCGCACCAAAGGTCACTCCGGCGAACGGTCACTCTTACTAGGGGGAAAACAAACCTACCTCGCTTTTGACCACCCTCGCTTCCAAGAGATACCAAACGATGCCAAACTACGGCCTGTACCTGTCAGGCCGCTTGACGAGGAGGCGCGTGGTATGACTTGGTTTTGCCTGGAAGCGAAAGCGGGGTAGGTAATTCACGCTCTGACTTACGTCTGGTCGAACCTATCAGCATGAGCTCCGGGTCGGAGAACGACTCGGTGGGCTTGCCGGTCACCAGGTACCTCAGGGGGGTGCGGCACTCCGCGGGCACGGCAGCTCTGCCCCGAGGCCTCGGGGGAACGTGAGGGGAGGACTGGCTCTCGAGGAGGAAGCCTCGACCTGGAATCAGCGATACGCAGGGGGCCCAAGGACACACCAAGAAATACACACACACACACAAAATGATCCCCCGTATTTCCCGCCCAATTCCCACACCTTCCCATCTTTTCTTGGGGATCGACGATGAGTGGAGTCTGTGGGTTTTTTTCCCCCCCTGAGATACCTCTCCGACAGGCTGGCGATGGGCTCCCTGAAACAGATCCGTACGCTCCAGACCCCGGGGGGGGGGGGCCACGGGGACCCGCTCAGCTCTGCATGGGCGACGAGGGGTCGAGGCATCCTCCCCCCCTGAGCCGAGCCCGCCCTCCCGTTGTCCCTGCTCCCCACGGTGCAAAGGGAGTCTGCGGTCACGTCCCTTCCCGCTCCAGACGAGGAAGCTATCGGCTCCAGAGCGTCGGCGTTGTTGTCGTCGGCGTCGTCGTCGTCGTCGTCGTCGTCGTCGTCGTCGTCGTCGTCGTCCGTCGTCGTCCGTCGTCGTCGTCGTCGTCGTCGTCGTCGTCGTCGTGGTCGTCGTCTTCGTCGCCGTCGCGTGGCAGTGCCGGAAGCCCGAGAATGAGCATGCGGCTCGCTCGAGGGCAGACGCCACCGCGGAAGGCCG